CCCTGTTCCGGCGCCAGCCACCCGCTGGGTGGAGGGGACTCTCTCTCTGATTGGCTTCCATCAACGCTACAGAATTAAAAAAAAGAAGATGCAGGCACCACCACCAGCACTGCCAACAGAGACCGAACCCACCTCTGCTCGCCTTCGTGCTCCCGGGGAGACCCTGTGACCTGCTCTCGCTGCTCCTGCCTCCGCCGCGGCTGCCGGCCCCCGGTTCTTGCTGCCGCGGCTGAAACTGCAGCTCTCGGGATGGGAAGGTTACGGGCTCCGGAGAGCTGGCTCTTGTGGGCACACACTGATTTGCAAGTGAATGAAGTGGGAGGGAGCAAAGAGAGGAGGACTTTGTTAAAGAGGCCCAGTGCCTGCCCCCGCCCGCCCCCTCCCCTTGACAGAATGACTCCCAGTGTTTGAAGTCCTGAGCAATCCCTCCTTGCAACCCTCCCTCAGCCCGGGCTTTCTCTTCTGTTTCTCTCTTATTTGGGGGGCGGGGGAGGGGGTTAAGACATGCTCAGAACTTCTGTGACTCCGTCTGTGGCCTCTCATACTATCGAAATGCACCTTGTACTGTTACCGGCAAACGGTCTGATGTTCTTTTTTTTTTTTTTTTTTCCCCCGACCAAGCAATTCCAATTCCCAGGGATACGGTACCTCGTCGCGTTCTCAGTTGGTCCGCTTCGTGATAGCACGCAGAGACGAGAAGCCCGGTCTCCTGAGATAACAATAACCATGGCTTTTCTTTACAACACAAACAGGCGTCCTCCGGACGCAGCGGACAGGGATGCATCCACGCCTTGCCCTCTCCTTCCAGGAAGACAGGTTCTTCTGCAGACACATGATCTCTGTTACACTTTGGGAGTGAGTAACCCCAGGATGGTGGAGCATGAAGCCATGCTTCCGTGGGCTTGCAGAAACCCTTCCGACTCGCCAGGACTTATGGCTGATGCCATCTTTCTATGTAGGAGGATATTCTAGATGTGCTTCACGTTTCAAGATCTTTCTAGAAAGTTACTGAAATAGATTATCCTCCCAAATAAACTCTTTGGTACATGGAGCTGCTCAAAGGGCTCTCTCCACAGTCACAACGAAGTAAATGCTAAGGTTAGGGACTAAGCTGCAGAAATCTTATCCATGTCAACGTCTTATTAAATGAGAGGAATGACTTTCTACATAGGCAAGGTAGACATGATGGAGTCAGACACTGTCGGATTAGGAAAATGAAATCTAATTACCACGGTGATTGCACTCGGGGTCACTAGCATCCCGGCCCAGCTGTTTGCGTGTGCTGCAAGTTCTCCGGAAGATTGCCATTGAGTTGTACTGGAGAAAAGGTCAGGCCATGTGGCCTCGGAGTGGCTAAGCTGGTTGGAGGCTGGTCTTGTTCCCAACCGAGTTCTAACTAGAAAATCTTTTGTTTCTCCGGGAGAAGTTGAGGCATTAAATAAAGCCAGAATCAAAGTATTCCTTCTGGACATTGAAGAAGGTGTGTGTATTTAAGAAGGGTGTGTGAAACGGTTTCAGCACACATGTTCTACACATGGGTGATAGAAAGACTTCGAGTTTCTTTCTTGAAAAGACCTTCCCTTAATAAAGAATTGCCGCCAAGTTACACAAGGAGGCTGAACATTTTCTCTTTGTAAAGCTCTTTAAACTCCTCTGGAGATGGGCTGGCAATTGGCTGGTGGTTAAGGTGCTGGACTCCCTGGTGACGGACGGTGGCTCAAGTCCTGGGCCTGGCGACTTGCTTTCTCACTTTCTCTCTCTCTCTGGTGAGCACATATGCCCTGTAGCAAACTGAAGTAAAAGTAATAATAATAAATAAAAATAGAAATAAACTCTTTGGAGAAAGGACAGGGAATAAGAAAGCTACTTCTGATTCACTGTCCATTCCTCATATTATGAATTTCTTATAGATTTAATTTGAAATACTAGCTCCCAATGTCTGTACAGTCCTTCACTGCTTACAAAGTACTTTTGTAGACTATTTTATTTAATTCTTCTTTCAACAAGTGGCTTTATCCACTCCCCTCCCCCAACACACACAGGACAGAGAAACAGGCTGATAAAGAGGCAGTAGAGGGACCAGCAGTTAGTGTAATGGCTATGTCGCTGGACTCCCACGTAGTCGACCGTGGTTTGCATCCCGGACCGGGTGGCTTAAAACTCACACCGGATGCGTGTGTGTGCGTGCCTGAGATCCCGAGAGGAGAATGGAGAAGGGATCGCGGCATGGCCATCCCCCTGGGGGATGATTTCTCGCTTTCTGTCTCTCTGTCTCTCTCTGTCTTTCTGGCGAGTACACGTGCCCCATAACAAAAACCTCTACCAAAAAAAACAAAGAGGCAGTAGAAGTTAATAGGTCTAATGTGATAGTATTGGGATGCACAAGAGCCAACTGGACTGGTAGAACTCTATGCATGTATGCATTCAGACATACAGGCCTACAAACTGTAAGTGCAGATATAATTCATTAGTGCATTAGCTTGTGTGATACTTATTAATAAATAATAAAGAATATTAATAAAAATAAGTCACATGTTAAGATGTGCAAATGGACTGATTTTTATGGCATAAGAGAGATGGCAGTGAAGTTGGTTTTCGAAGTTGGTTTTCTATCTGTGGAAGCAGTTAATATCTCACAAAGGAAATCCTAATTGCAATATACTATTCTTCAAACCCCATTAAGCTACACATCACAGGTGGTTAAAGCAACTACTTTCATTAAGAGTGGACAATCGGTTGCTTCTGAACAGCTCAAGTGGCAATAGTAAATTACATAAAGGACAGCATTTTTTGTACTAAAGGATTATTTGTAGTGTTTGAGGCTTTCTAATAACATTTATCATGATAATTATTTATTTTCAATTGGATAATTGATGTAAATATTCCAGATTATTTTATCTCTTTTTTTTTTTTTTTTTCCAGACACAAACAACCAAGAGTTACTAAAGTTAGTGGTTACCTGCTGTAGTGGCAGGTAACCATTCTAGTCCATTCTCTGGCACGGAGAACATAGAGAAGTTAGTCAGAGACCGTTAGGCAGATGAGTCAGTCTTGGTTTTCATCATATAGGGTGTTCTCATGAAACTTCAGTGTGGGAATGCTGCAGGGCCTCTGGGAAGGCCTGGAGCAGGAGCTGAGAAGCCACCAGTACTCCATCTTTAGTGCCATTTTTTTCCTGATATGCTTCTGCTTTTGTTTTGTCTCCCTGCACACCAGCCTCCTTCCCTGCACAGAGCAGAACAGCACCACTGATAGTCCAGAGCTTATCAGTTGGAAAGGAAGAGTGAGCTTCTTTTCCTGTTGCCTTTCCAATTTCTTTGAAAGTGCTCTCTCACTAATCAGGACCTATCCCTGGACAGGTCACCTGGCCTGAGGCAGAGGAGGGAGGAGGTGTCAGATTCTCATGGGCCATACGGGCTCCCCTGAACCAAAATGAGGGGCAGCAGTATGAACATGCCCTTGGGGACTGGGAAGACCATCCTCAGTATACCCCAGTGTCTTGTTCAGTACAGCTGATGTAGCCCATCAGTTATTTTTAGGCTGCTTCAATATGTTATATGCCTCAGTCACAATGACATGTACTTCTATCGTTTTATAGCTTGCAAGTTCTTTTTTTAAAGAAAACCTCCTTCATAGACCATTACTAGGGATATTAATTTTGATGAAGGATTTTCCAACTTCCACTAAATCTCTCTTCAGATGATTAAGAGGCTATTATATCCTTATAATGGGGATGCATATAAATAAATAAGTTACAAGTTCTTTGACTTTCTTTTCAATAATCTGTATGCAATGATTATCTGATAAAAAAAGTTTTCTTGATCATCAACAATTATTTTTGATTAGAATGAAAAAACCCTCACTTTTTAAGCCATGTGCCTAATGAAGAAACTTGGCACTGGGAGTTTAGATTCAGCCAATCCAAATCTTTTACCTAAAACTCACCCTAAATGTGTTGCTGCTAGCAAAAGCACACGCATTACAACGCTTATGACTTAATCATCATGGTGTGCACAAGTAAACAGATTTCATAAGGAATCGGTACCCCTTCCTCACCTCTACTCTGTGTGTGTGTGTGTGTGTGTGTGTGTGTGTGCACACATACACAAGTGTTTAAAAGGGGAAAAAAAGCTTTAACCACTCTGGGTATTATTGAACTGAAACAAAGGAGACAGGAAACCTCGATGGAATTCCCCTTTTGTAAGAGCCATAGACATCTCAATCCAAGCTAAATAAATTCTCACAAACTTCATGTGCTTATCCATGTCTTCCAATCCTGGGAGAGCTTCCAATACTTTATTTAAAGTGGATTGGATCCCACGGTGCATTAAGACATTTCCCTCTTGATCATTATGTTTGACTCATCACTATAGGTAGATTATAATAAGCCAAAAGATTTCCAAATAAGATAAATGCACAGCAGCAAAATGTTATTGACCTACACAGGACATTTTAGTACTCTGGGCATTTCAGGGTAGGTAGGACTTCAATTTTGCTGAATTCTTTTTACATGTTATTCACTGCCTTACAGTAGAATATAAAATTGCCTAATCAGATATGAACACCTCTAGTTTGGTATACTGAGAATCAAGATTGTACTATAGGAATGAAAGAACATGTCCTTGTTTGGAAGAAATAGTTCATTAGGAGGAAATGCAATGTATCAGGATATTCTTTTAAATAAGTGGTATAGACCAGAATAAATACAAAATCCTACACTTTCCCCCAGAGAGAAAGTAATTTTCCTCTCCCACTATCTCTCCTCCCAATTATAGAAGCATTTGATGGGAAAGTGACAGGCTGGGTGGGAAAGATAATGTAATAGCATATGTTCAAAAATATTTGGGGATGTTATAATTGTGAGAACATCAAAATTTCACAGGATATCATGGCTATCAAAAAGAAGATTACCCTCTGTACTGGATAGAGATGAGAAGATGAAAAAGAAGATTACTTTTGGATGCATGTAACTATTCTCTTTAAAATAGAGCTAACCTCATTACAGACTTTTGTTTCTTTCTTAGTACTCGTTACATATCCCCCGTTTGAGCCCTGTCTTTGTATTGCTACTGCACTTTGTAAAATACCAATAGTATGTTGGCTAGACTTCACTGTTTACATGCTCTTTCTCCTCTGCTAGACTGTATATCCATTGCATTACTAATGTTAGAATATTTGTCTGTTTTGGTCATCATTTTATCTCTAGTGTTA